TGCACATCCTTCCAGGTGCTGCATGTGGGACGCGGCCCCAGCATGGCCGGAGAAGCGGTGCGTCGGTGCACGCCCGGGATCCGAACCCGGGCCGCCAGCAGCAGAGCGCACGCACTTAACCGCTAAGCCACGGGCCGGCCCTCTTCATCCTTAAAATGGGGATAAAAGCACTTGCCTTGTCTACCTCATGCTGTGACTGTGAGGATCAAATGAGATAATGTGAAAGAGCTTTGTAAACTACGAAATACTGTATGTAAGGGAAAGTAATAGTACATACTTATTACATTTTAATTAGGTCCTTATCACTGCCTATTTGACTAAGGAGTACCCCATGCAGGATGTGCTTTGCAACAGATAGAACTAAAAATAAGTGCTGTAAATATATACTTGTCTTTTTCACTAGGGTTGTTAAAAAAGGGAAATTATTAATTCCTTCAGAAATGGCCTCAGAATACATTAGTTAAAAATGTGATATCATCTAAATCTATCAATTGATAGAATTAATTTTTCTCCAAATATATCTCTATAGTTATAGTCTGGTCTGTTGATACCTTTATCCAGGGAAGTCTTGAATTCAAGAAATAGCACGCTAAAACTTAAAAAAAAAATCATATAGTTATAGTTTGTTGTAAAGGAAATAAAATGAAAACAAGAGGCATCCTATATAATGAAATTAGTCACAGTTCCTCCCATGGTTGCCTTTTTCCTGAGATATCTCCAGGACAGGGTCCTAGTCCTGTGAAGTGCTTTAGAAAAGCTTAGTCTTGCTGGAGGTGAAAAGGACATGTAGGATGGCAACTAGGGCGTGCTCATTTTCAGCACTGGGATTTGAACAAGAAGGTCTGCTAGGAGCTGCCAAACTCCTAACAGCTTTGGTGGAGAAGCCCATATGGCCCAAGAGAGGCTTGCTAGTTCTTGGATGCCAGGCCAGAGTGTGGACAACAGCTTAACACAGCCATCCAGTTCAGGGATTTTCAATTCTTCCTGTAAGTTGGTTCTGCTCTTCTCCGGTCTAGTAAATAAGTGAACAGAAGAAAAAGAAGGAGATGTGGTGTAATATATCTACGTGCACTTTAGGGTCTTTTTCTGCCTAGTTGCCAAAGGGTGACATGCAGAACAGAGACACAGGCAAGAAGTGAATGTGACTGACTTTGACTAGCCCAAAGCACCCAGATTCCAGCGTTCGTGTCAGACGGCCTTTATTACAAATGGTACAGGTGAGACCTGGAGGGAGTCCCGTCGGTGGAGTCACACGATGGCTGTCCTTTGGGGCCACGGGCGTGTTGCTAACCTCCGCTTTTCTTCCTGGTTTGCTTTGCTTTCCGGGGTTTGAGGATGGTGTAGTTTGCATACACTGTATACTGATCTGACAGGAAGGGGACATAGAACGCCCGCAGCAGCTTTGAAGATCTGAAAAACGAGGGGGAAAAAAAAAGACAGAATTTCATCATTTGAGAGAATTCACTAACGGTATTGAAAACAATTAAAGGAAATAAACTAAGCACAATGGTGAGGACAGCCAGCCCTGGTGGTCTAGTGGTTAAGATTTGGTGCTCTCCGCCACAGCCTGGGTTTATTTCCCTGTCAGGGAACCACACCACCCATCTGTCAGTTGTCACACCGTGGCGGCTATGTGTAGCTGTGATGCTGAAAGCTATGCCACCAGTATTTCAAATACCAGCAGGGTCACCCACGGTGGACAGGTTTCAGTGGACCTTCCAGACTAAGATGGACTAGGAAGAAGGACCTGGCTATCCACTTCTGAAAAATTGCCCATGAAAAGTCTATGAATAGCCACAGAGCATTGTCTGACATAGCGCCGGAAGATGTGAGGATGGCATAAGAAGACCGGACAGGGGTCCGCTATGCTGTACACAGGGTCGTTGGGAGTTGGAACTGACTCGACAGCACTAACAACAAATGGTGAGGATTGTATTTTATATGAGTAGCACAGAAAAGTCTGTTATTTAACTACTAGATCATGATAAAAGACCTAATCAAAACCAAGTACCTTGTTATCCACACCAAAAAGATAGTGTCCATAAAAAGCCACAATATATCCTTCGAAATAGCTCTAGGTTTTCACTTTGCATTAGAATATGCTGGAGAAAAGTTGCAGGCCAATCAAAGGACTGCTATTACTGAAATAAACTCTTAAAACCCAAATGGTTTCTGTATCTAAGAAACTGTAGAGATGCCAAAGGCTCAAATGACCCCGACTCCAGCTCTAAGTTTTCCTAGAAAGGTAAAGAAAACTATGTCCTGGGCTTCCTGTGCACAGTGTTCTGGCAATTCTTAAGTCAAAGAGAGAGTCTACACACAAGCTCATGTCGTGACACGTCCCTGGCAAATTATAATATATCTGCTTGTTACTAAAATATAGGAACAGCTGAAAATCTGGATTTCTCACGAGGTTCAAAAGAATGTAAAAGATACCACACATTTATTGAACACTTAGTACTGGACAGGCACTGGGAAAACTGCTTACACTTTTAAAGATAATATTTAACCCATCTAATAACCCCATGAGGAAAGTGATATTATTATCCCTATTTTATAGATGGGAAACTGAGGCTTATAATGACCAAGTAACTTGCTTAGGGTCACAAAATAAGTGATAGAGCCCTCATTCAAGTCCAGATTTGATTCTAGATTCTGTTCTCCTAACCACTATGGTTTATCATGCACTCCAGGAACAGGCTAACAGGATTCATCGCTTCCTAGAAAAAGCAGCAGTGATAGTTTCAAATTCTATATGAGGTATTACTTCTTGACTGTGATTTCAGAGTCTAAAAATCAAAAGTTGGCTCAATTATTGCCACCCTAAATGAGGTAGCTGAAGGGTGCTCCATTGCCAGTCCTTCTCCAGACTCTAAACTTGTAAATGTCATGTCAACGTGGCATTTGTACTGGCAGCCTACCCCTGGGTTTGGCAGACTCCTGCAATGCCTGCACACAATGATATCGTGCTTGGCATACACACCTCTTAGAGATTCTTCCCAACTGGGGCGCTGGCATGCTCTGTGCTCAACAGAGATGCACTTCACTTCAACAGCTAACAGCTCAAGGGCTTTGATAGAGAAAAGAGGCTTAGAAGAGAGACACACCAGATAAAGCAGGGCTCCTGCAAACAAAATGAACAGGAGGAAGAAGCACCTACCTCAGTCAAAAAGAAGTTAATTTATTCTTTCTGTCCATGCTGCACAGATAAGGGGAAAGTCAGAACAGAAAGCTGTAAACAGGAGCAAACTCCTGTAAGCTTAAGTGTAGTAAAGATAGGTTAAGACTAATTAAGCATCATTTCCATTCCAGTTGACTCCACAGTAAAAGCCTCATTAATATTGTCACTATATATTTCCAGTCAATTCAGTCCTTGGTATAACATTAGGTCCATTGGGCCCAATTTTAGCTTTTGACTTTCTTTTTGGAACAATTCCTTACTATTTGGGAGGGTTCTTATTTCATAATTTTATTCTTTCTAGAGTCTTCTAAAGAACAAAGAGAAATGACACGTATTTTAAAAAATAGAATAAAACTCATTCTATCTTGCAGTTACCATATGGGTCCATTGCAACCTTTTATAAATTTAACCTCTGTTATAGGATCTTAGTGGTCTTATTTTTTCCTATATCTTGGATTATTTACAACTATGCTTTTTTAAAAAAAGACTAAAATAATAAGAAAAAGGAAGAATGATAAAATCACCGAAAAGGATGATGCAAAAGTGAAATAATCACTATTGCATTATCCTCCAATTTTTTTACTGTATTACCCAAAGGATTGCATCATCTTTCAATAACATATAAAAACTTGAGACACTGTCACTGTAGTCTGCTTTTAGCTTTCATTGAACACAGTTGAGAATTCAGAATTTTTAAATTTTCTGTCCATAATGGCAAAGAGAAGAAAACTGACAGAGGAAGACATTTCACAATTATTAGACAAATCAGAAGATGAACGCAAAGAGACAAATAGCGGCACTCAAGACTCTAATGATGATGGTAAAACTGATTATACAAGCAAAATTTCAGACTATGAATCTTCAGATAACACTGTACTAGACGAATTTTCTCAAACTCAAGAACTGATGAGTGAACAATATATTTCTAAGAACAAAAAGGAAATAAGGTATTTTCATTCAGTTAGTCATTCAACAAGAAGGGCTTCATCATGCAATATTTTGCAATAAGAACCTGGACCATCCTGTTATGCTAAAAGGGCATAAGACGATATTCTTTCATCTTTTATGAAGTCTGTGTGCCAGATTTTATTTGATACAGTTCATAAGTGGATAAATGCTGAAGGCAGGTTAGTATACAAAGGTGACTGGAAGGATATAGATGATAAAGAAATAAAAAAATTCAACGGATTGATCATTTTAATTGGTGTTTATAAATCTAAAAATGAAAATGTTTGAATTATGGAACAAAGAAGATAGCTGTCCTCTCTTTGACAAAATTATGAGCCCTTAAAGGTTTAAAAAAATTCTTCAGGTGTTGCATTTTGACAATGAGAGTGCAAGAAGAACCAGGAGTAATAAACTAGAGCTTATTATAGATACACCTGAAGTCTGGAATCAGCATTTTAAAGATGGATATATGCCAGGTTCACGCATGACAGCTGATGACCAGTTAGTTGCACTCAGAGGTGTCCATTTCAGGTGTGTGTGTGTGTGTGTATATGCAAAACCAGGAGAGTATGGAATAAAGATTTGGAGTTGCTACATTTAAATTATTATTAAAATTTCCACTCCAACTGACTCCACAGTAAAAGCCTCATTAATATTGTCAGTATATATTTCCAGTCAATTCAGTCCTTGCTTGGTATAACATAAAGTTGTTTTTTTTTTTTACTATCCTTTTATTATTATTTTTGTAAGTTACTTATAAAATAATTGAAAAATATAAAAAACAAAAAGGGTCTATTGGGTCAAGACAGTAAATGGTGATGACTATTTTTCCTGGTATGTTGACAAATCATGCCAAGGAGCTCTAAAAGATCATTTCAGAAAACTATCTTGGGCTATACATGGGACATACCATCATCAAAAATACTGACTGCCCTGAAATAGAAGAAGGGCCACTATGTGTTATTTTTTAACGCAAAGGGCAAGCTGAAACAAAGGTAAAAAGATAAAGGAGACAGGGACAAAATATTTGCAACAGATATCACAGAGTAAAGTGTTCCTACAATCAATAAGAAGACAAACAACTCAATAGGAAAAAATGACGAAGGATATGAACAGAGAAAAGAAATGTAAATAGCAAATAAACATATGAAATAATGTTTAATCTTATCAATAATCAGGGAAATGTAAATCTAGATATAATTTTTAAATAATCAGGTTTGCAAAAGTTAAAAACTCGGACAGTATCAAACACTGGTAAGGAATCAGGAAACAGATATTGTCAGTGAAAGTGGAAACCTGCACAGCCACTTGGAAAGGCAATTTTACAGTGTTAACTAAACCAAAATTATGCAGTTCCTATGATAGAGCAGAGGATGTTTTCTTTTGTTTTGTTTTGTGAGGAAGACCAGCTCTGAAGTAACATCCAATGCCAATCCTCCTCTTTTTTTGCTGAGGAAGACTGGCCCTTGGCTAACATCCGTGCCCATCTTCCTCTACTTTATATGGGACGCCACCACAGCATGGCTTGCCAGGCGGTGCGTCAGTGCGCACCCGGGATCCAAACCAGCGAACCCCGGGCTGCTGCAGCGGAGCACACGCACTTAACCGCTTGCGCCACCGGGCCGGCCGGCCCCTAGACCAGAGGATTTTTATCTTGTACTTTACACCACATTACTTATTTTTTTCACAACCTACTTTGTTTTCTACTTGTTACAATAGAAAATTTCAAACATACATAACAGTAGGCAAAATATAACTTGTAATAATTTTTAAAAACCAGAAGAAAAATTTTAAAATAAAGGAAATCTCAAATCCTTAAAACAAACAAAAAAAACCTATGTGCTTACTATGTGTAGGGCTTTGTGTGCTGGCCCTGAAGACATAAATGTCTGTCTCAAACAGCTAATAACCTAGTTGGGAGAGGCAGAATATGAATGATACATAACTATAACTTAGCATATACTAAATATTAAATAGCTGATACAGAGTTCAAAGTGATAAACACATTCAGAACAGAGAACAAATACTGAAAGTTGCACAGATGTGGAAGAAGCATTTACTATACATTACAGGCATACCTCGTTTTCTTGCACTTCACTTTATTGTGCTTCGTAGACATTGTGTTTTTCATAAATTGAAGATTTGTGGTAACCCTGCATCCAGCAATTCTGTTGGCGCCATTTTTCCAACTGCCTTTGCTCACTTTCTGTTTCTGTGTCACATTTTGGTAATTCTCATAATATTTCAAACTTTTTCATTAATATTATATTTGTTACAGTGA